CCCGTTGCTTCGTAAACGAAAATAATAAAAATTACAATTTGGACCCGAATTTGTAAAAATAAAATCCCAGCAGAAATAAATTTACTAGGTATTTCAGTTGATATTACTTGAAATAATTTTTAAAGAGACATGTCAAAATTGAGATTATTACAAGTTACCTAATAAATTTTACTATTTATTACGTAAAATTCAGTCATTTACAATGGAAAATTGTAATTTTTGCGTTGTCATAAAAATTTAGTTCTCTCCGTGTTTAAATAATTTAATTGGAACATTTCCTTATAACTATTCAGTGAAAAGCTAGTTTTCAAATACCTCAGAATAGATATAGTGAAACAAAATGTAACAAGAACATTTATTATTAAATTAATTTGAAACAAACATATAAAAACTTATACGAAACAATAAATATATTTAAGTATTACAATAATGTTTCTTGGCATCTTCTGCAATAAATTCCAGTTAAGGTTTCTCTGTTATAATCTTCATCTTCAGTAAACTGACAAGTGAACACTTTTTTAAAGCAAGTCCTGAACTGAGGATTTTCGATTGTTAAAAGGGCCAACAATAAGAACGGCGTGGCATTGTAACAAAATTCTAAAATTATACTGAAAACATCATCAGGAAAACCAAACCAAACTTGAAGTACAAAAGACAATTCAATAAAGCATATTAAATAAAATAAATTATTACTGCTATTGAGAGTCCTTTTTCTACATTTGCAAACGCATCTTACAATTATCAGAGTTAAAAGAAACAAAGGGAAAGCCACATGATATAGTAACATTACTGCACTTAAGAAGGTGTGAGCATGATGCCCTTCTTGAGCGCAAATCCTTGTTGAGATGATGGCACTAAATGTTAAAGGGGCCCACACAGCGACAACTGCAACTTTATAATTTTCTTTCCATTGCACTAGTTTACTTTGCCAAAAATTTTCCACGCACCAATCAATAACTATCAATACTTGAAAAATACTCGCAACTAAATCAAAACATTCTTCCATATCCATTACAAAACAGCTATATTGGTCAGAATAATGTAAACCAATTATACTAGTTAAAGGAAAATAGGCAGTTGGGCTAACAACAAACTTGATTACATCGGCTATGCACCAATTTACTAAAAATATGTTGGCCACCGAAAAAAGACGCTTGAAATGAAAAAAAATGTATATAAGAAGAATGTCGATCACTATGCCAAGCAAGCAATACACTATAAAAACTATTACGATGGGAGGTGTAGTGAATCTAGTTTCTTCCGCAGTTTCGTATTGAGGTTCGTCCTTGGTTGGAAATAACTCGTAATCCATTTCTTGTTTTCCTATAACAATTAATAATTTTGAACTGAGCTCTTGTGGACAACAACTAACATCAATTAGTTAATAAAAAAAATATTGTATTACCTACCTCTCCGTCATATGATATGAACACTTATTTTATAAACAGATCGTTTGCACAAAACATAGTTTAGTAGCACAGGAAATCATTAACATTAAGATCTTGATTGGGTAATTGCTTTTTTTTGCTCAGTTAACACGTACGACTTCCGCAGAAACTGAAAAACTTTAGTTAACAGAAGAGACGATATTTCAAACAGTTGCATGTTAACGCTGAAATTAAATAACGAATGATATTCGCGATAACTTTTTGATCTTTCACTTTATTTAAATGGAAACAAAATAACCAGTCAGCGTTTAGTAGCAAACATGAACATGACAAACGTTCGTCGATATATTAAAAAACAAAAACCTCTGTGGCTAAGAAGAAAGATATTTTAATCAAACATACATGCAATTTAGACAACTTTTAGAAGTGAGATAGTTTAATATGAAATGTTAATCTGAAAATTCATTGCTGTTGTCACCTCTCGTAGTTTAGTGGTCAGAACATTGGTGCGTAAAGCCAAAGGTCCCGGGTTCGATTCCCGGCGACGGTGTGACAACAGCAACAATTTTTCCCTCATTAATTTGAGGTAGTGTGTAGTGGGTAAAAAATTCAAAAATGTATTTTCAGATTAATGCTTGGTATTTTAATTGTTTCCTAATAAATTCGATTATTTGCTCAATTGCACTATATTCACATCACTCGTGCTGTCTTTTCCTACCAAAATCTTATGATCATAACGAATCAGACAAAAGCATTCTTTGTTTAACGTTAAAGAAGAGATTAGTAAAGTTTAATAAACACAAATTAAAAAAAGTTAAAAGAGCATAATAGAGGCATAGCAGCCAACCATCGACGATCGGGCTTCGCCGTTTATTGAAAATTGTGAAAACATTTTAAATTTTAGGGGAATGATAGAGGGAAAAATATTAAAGAAAAGCGAAAACATTAAATAAATTAACCGAATAGTCTAAGCTAAATGATTTTATTTACAAGTCTATCGTATAACAAATAAGTTATACTAACAAATTCCGTTCATTATACTTATCATCATCTTCAATCGCACCTAAGTACATTTTGAATACAAATCTTGAACTGATAGTCACGAAGTTCAACAGAATTAATAAACAAATGCCTGCCGATTGTCTAAGAAAAACTAAAACAATTAACAAGTAGCTTAAAAGTGAAATAGTCACATATTCAATGCAATTTATGAATGTCAATCTATGATTATCAAGGTCTCGAAAAAACTAATCGTCAATGTAGAATAATTGTTCAACTCAGACACAAAACACGAATAATTTTTAAAAGTAGAATCGGTTGTCTGAAAACAAACGCAGTGTGCAGAACAGGACTAATAAGGACACTAACGACATCAGCCACGCACTAATTCATCAGGTACCTACATGTTTGCCACTGAATGAAGACATCTAAAGTAAAGAATCGTGTACACCAGAAATATTTCAGTACTAGAAAATAGTACACTAGCAACACTATATGTATTCTTGACACTTTTTGGTCGATTTCTAGATGTGAGAATTCTGTACTAAATTCCTCTTGTAATAGTCCGTAATCCATTTTTACTTCAGTTTTATCACCTAATCTAAAACGGGGATAATAATAGCCAAACTATTTATATAAATGATCCAGTAAACGCAAAACTGAACACGACTAACTGCTAATATAACAAAATAAATAATATATTAATAAAATTTGCAAATACTTAAGCATTTAATAGGTACCAACAGAATAAAAATCAAAA